TTGCATCATGTTTTTTCAATCTCAAAATTAGGTTATTTACTTTCTTTTTTTTATTTTAAAGATAAAAGGAGGGAAACATTAACAGATGTACAACATTTTACAACATATCACAAGCACAATACAGACAATACAGAGTTACAAACAAAGTAGTAGGGAATTAACAATGGTGGTTGTATTACATATTGATATCTTCAAAGTGGTTTCTCGTGAAAACAGATATAGACATGCAATACTGGTCAACCAAAGACTCATTGACAGTTTCAAAATTAGGTTATTTAGACAGCTAAGGGATTTTTCTTTCTGATTTGTGAATTTCTTGATACGAAGAGTTGCACAAGTAAAATGATGTAATTGTTTTGAGTTATTAGCATAATACAAAGAACAAAATAAAATAAAATAAAATTGCTGTGGTTGCCAAAAATTTGAGGTGTTTTTCTCTCATTCGTAGTGAAATAAACCTACTTCATCCTTGTCAAATATGAGAGGAAGTTTGATCTCTTGAGCTCTTGCTGTGTTCTCAGTAACATGAGCAATTCTTTTTTTTTTACTAGTAATCCTGCTAGATGTCCCAGCGCTTGGACTTGGGGCACAGATATAATATTGTGAATAACAGGGTATCACTCATTTTGCCTTTTGTGTTTGCGTCTCTGGAATATTCATCCACTATCAGAACCCTGCCCAGTGTAGGGTACTGTTCAGCTAGACTTGCTTTTTCTACATAAATAGGTTTGAATTGAAAACTTTCATTTCTTACAAAGAAACTACCAAACTATAAAATACATTCCAACAATTTTTCTGACATAATTACATTGATTTTTAAAAGTAAAGGTTGGGACATAAAGATATTACTAGAAATATAGATTCCATTATTGAATCTCATCACATCCCTTAGAAGATTTCACCTGAGGAAACTTAATTTACTAGGACCTTATTTATTGAAAATGGCATTGCTATTTATTTTAAATTTTCATTCTGTAATATGCAAATGCAAATAGCAATTGTCTACCACATGGCTATTTCATCTCAGGGAAAAAATGAAGATTAATCACCTAATGGGAAGGAATCAGGCAGTAGTATAGGAGGTGTGGCTTAGAGAGGGCTTTAGTTGGGGCTAACAATACAACTAACCTGGCATACTCAACATTCCTGACCTCCTGGAATATATACTTATTAATATTTTAACCTATGATTCTCAATTAAAATATCAGTAAAATATTAAATATAAATAGGAAAAGATTTAAACCTTTCTTGCACATCCCATTTATCTCCTAAGAGGGGAAAGCACACCTATGAATTTTTTTTTAGTTTTATTTTAAAGAGAAAAAAAAACCCAAAATTTCAAAACAAAGTAATAGGAGAGTAACAATGATTAATACATTGCATAGTTATCTTCAAATTAGTTACTCAGAATACAAGAGATAGGTATTTAACTGTCAAAAGAATATTAGCACAAACCTTTCTTTTCAATGAATTAAGAGAAATTAGTAGTTATAACTATCTTAGCTAGTGTATATAGATACATATATATGTATATATATTATATATATGTATATATATTACATATATATTTTTCCTTTTCTATTCCTTCTTTTCTCCTTTCCCCATCCCTGTTTCTCTTTCCTTTTCAAAAATTTCTTCCCATTTCACAATATCTATTGTACGTTTTGGATCTTATTTACTCTTTCAGCTTCTCACACTAGACAGACAATACAGTGTTTACACATATGTCTTATTTATTTCACTTATGAACATGGTCTCCAGTTGCATCCATTTACCTATAAAAGTCTCCAGTTTGTCCTTCTTTATGGCTGAGTAGTACTCCATTGTTTAAAAACAGCACATCTTTTTTATCCATTCCTCAGTTGGTGGGCATTTGGGTTGTTTCCAAGATCTAACTATTACAAATTGTGCTGCTATAAACATGGGTGTGCGTATATTGTTGTGGTATGCTGTTTTTAATTCTTCTGGGAAGATGCCCAGATGGGGAATAGCTGGATCAAATGGAACCTCTAATCCTGGATTTTAAGGAATCTCTACACTGATTTCCACAGTGGTTTCACCAGTCTACACTTCCACCAACAGTGGAGAAGGATTCCTTTTGCCCCACAGCCTCTCCAGAATTATTATCAGTTGATTTTTTGATGATAGCCATCCTTTCTGGAGTGAGATGGAATCTCAGTGTTGTTTTAATTTGCATCTCTCAAATGACCAGTGATGGTGAACTTTTTTCATGTATTTATTTGCTGTTTGTACTGCTTCAACTGAAAAGTATGTATTCATCTCAGATGCCCATTTTTGTATTGAGCCTTTAAATTTGGGAGGTCTGATTTTTTGAGCTCTTTATATGTTCTCGATAGTAATCTTTTTTCTGAGGAACAGCTGGCAAACATTTTTTCCCATGTTGTGGGTTTTCTCTTCACTCTGTTGGTTTCTTTTGCTGTCCAAAAGCTTTTTGAATAAGATGAGATCCCAGTGGTTGATTCTTTGTGATACTTCCTATGTGATCAGGGTTTTATTCATAAAGTCTTTGCTTATATTAATGTCTTCAAGAGCTTTACCTATTCTATCTTCCAGCAGATTTAATGCCTCTGTTTTAATATTTAGATCTTTGATCCATTTCAAATTTAGTTTAGTGCTTACACCCATGAATTTATGTGCTTAGTCCACTTAAATACTTTGCAAGTGTGGTACATATAAACCTCTCTCTCTCTCTCTCTCTCTCTCTCTCTCTCTCTCTCTCACACACACACACACACACACACACACACACACACACACACACAATGATGGTCTTAAAAATGTTTGCAAATATGTCTGTAATTCTTTGCAAAAGTATGTCTGCAATTTCTAATCACAGCAAAAGGTAGAACCTGCAGTAGAAGGAACTCTGCATGATTTTCAAATGAATCCAAGTCCTCACAGGGTTTGTGGCACCTGCTTCGCTTCCTCCCTGTTGGGACACACACCTTGGGAGCTGAGTCAGTGTGAAGAACGGGAGCTAAAGCCATTGTGCTGAGGAGTCCACGTCTAGATAGACAGATGCTGAGCAGCCCAGACCTTTCAGTCCTTAGGTGCAAGACAGGGAAACGATTGAGCCTTGGGGGATTTCAACTACCCAGCTGAAGCTCAGTGGAGGAGCAATGGGATTGCCCCAACAAGCCCCACCTAACTTGCTGGTTGTGGACTGCATTTTTCAGCTCAGGCTGCCAATACAGAGCACCATAGACTAGGCTTAAACAACAGAAATATATGTTTTCACAGGTGTGGAAATGAGAGTCTGAGATAAGGCGTCACTGAGGTGGGTTACTACAGAGGTGTCTTGGCTACTTTTGTTGCTGAGACAAAATACCTGACACCCAGAATTAAGGAAGGAAAAGTTTACTTAGCTCACAGTTTGTGGAGGTTTCAGTGCATACTTGGCTGGCTCCAAGGCAGAGTGGCACATGGCAGAGGGCAACAGTTCATGCGGTGGAAGACAGCAAAAGCAACAAGAGCAAAAAGGGAAACGTGTAGGCAAGCAGCCTCTTTCTTTCCCTTACATATGCCAACTATCCACCCCAGTGCGGGTGTAGCACTCACACTAATAATCCTAGCATCGGATCATGGATCAGCCATAAACTCTGAAAGCCGACCTCAGGACTGCATGAAGCTTTCGGGGGACACCGAGACACAAACCATAACAAGAGGGTGTGCTGCCTGGCTTGCAAACACATTCCTTTGTGATTGTCTTCACCTGGGAGGGAGGCATATGGGAGGGAGGCAGAGAGAAGGAGTGAGAAGGAAAGGGGGAGGGAGTGGAAGACAGAGTGAGCAAAAGCCAGCTCGTGTTCCTTCTTTGAGAACACTAATCCTGTTGGAGCAAGAGTCCAGCCTTATAAACTCATTTAACCTTAATTACTTCCTTATTCCAAATACAGTAATATTGGGACTAGAGCTTTAATATACAAATTTTGAGGGAACACAGTCTAAAGCAAGAACAAAAAAGTTTTATTATTTTAGGTCACCTACATTTTGGGATGATTTGTTCTGCCTCAATAAATAAGGGGGATGTGATCACAATACTATAGTATTTGTAGTAAATATTTGCATAAATGGCATTGTACTTAATAATCTGTAATTTCCTTTTTGGCTCAATATGCTTTTGAGATGTATTTGTGCTACTACATATAGGTAAATAAGATTATTCATTTTAATTGATGTACATTCATTTAGCACACAACAACACTATTTTTATGTGAGAATTTCATTAATCATGAGGTTTGGGGTTGTTTTTTAGTTTTGTGAAATTATAAATAGTGCCCTAATAATGATGTTTTAATGATTTCTGCTGGAAAAACAGATATTTTCTAAACTATATTCACTGGATCACAGGATATGTATACTTTATTTTAAGGACATGCACACTATTAATTGTACTATATGTGTATATTCTTTGTGTATTAGTCTACCCAATTTTTATCTTTTCTTGTTTTTAGGAGCTCTTTATGTATTCTGAGTATTAATATTTTCTTGTTATGTATATCTTGAAATTACCTCCCTGAATTTACTTTTTCATTTTTCTTGGTTTATATGTCATTAGAAAAAAATTGTAATTTGATTTAACCATATATGTATAAGTTTATTCATAGATTTTGAACATACCCATACTAAATATATAATTTTTAAAAATAAACTTCAGATTTTGTGTCCTTTTTAAGAAAGCCTCCTCTACTCTGGCAGAAGAGAGAGTCTTAGTCTTGAATGGAGGAATGGTGTTTTATTCCTAATATTTTTAGAGCTACAGTTTGAATGAATGCATAATTTCTACTTAATAATAAAACATCAGTTGATAAAGTTCTTGTACTTGCTAAGACTGATACTTAAAAGCAGTGTAGAGATTTAGAAAATATCCATGGGTAACTGGAAAAGGAACCGAAGCCTCTGAACCTCCAATGCGATTTTCAGGTAATTCTGTGACTTGGAGAGCAGAGTCCAACGAGTGAAAAGTTTTATCTTCATGGTGTCCGCAGGTGGCATGAAGTTAAAAGTTCTCTTTTTCTGAAATGTCCCTCTGTTCTGTGGGATACAGGCTTTCTTAGTCTGTTGGGATTAATTTAATCATTATTCCAAATTGTATAATTTATTCATTGATAGCTATAAATTTTAATTTTAGCTATAAAAATTTGAAGGTGATGTATAGAAAATGTAGGAGGTAAGATTTTTTAAAAAAATGGACATTAGCAAGAAGAACAGAATATTTGTAAAGGAAGAATATATTTCTTTATCTAGGCCCATGAAATTTACTGTCTAAGTTCCTAATGGTGCACGTTTCATAGGATCTGTTTTCTTTTTATTTTAAAGAGAAAAAAACTAACAAAACAACAATAATGAAGACAAAAATATATGTTTGAGTTTGTTTTGAGAACACATATAGCACGCGGGGTGACCGTGTGTAATTCGGTCACGCACATCCAATATAGCTCTCTGCGGCCTGTCTTCCTTGCATTTTAGTAGAGAGTAATAAAAGAGAGCCTTTTTATCGGGTAGAGGTATGACAGGAAAAAAGTAGTATCAGTCCACTTTGTTTCTAAGTGCTGCTGTTGCCAAGCCCGTCTGGGCTCCCACTGTGCCACTCACCAGCTTCGCATCTCATGGTTAGTGACCGCACACTGCAAATACGGTGCTGTGCCACCTAATGTGCCACTTTATTTGTGTGGATTTATAGGTGTTTGCAGGCCGGAATGATCACACTCACTGTAGAGGGTTGGTACCTGCACATAACACGTTTTCAATTCCCTTCTCCCCTGATTGTTTGACTCCTCTTTTATTTTTCCAGCATCAGATTCATTTATTTACTCTCATAACACCTTATAAAGTTAATCATCATATACACAGATTGAGAACCAGACAAATAAGCCACAAAACATATAAAACACCTAAGACAATTGTACCAAGTGAAGGTACACTTTTAGGTACATTGTCCCTCCACACTAGATTACAATTTTTTTCCTTTCTCTTTTTTCCATTAAGGACATGCATACTATTAATTGTATTATGTGATGAAGTTGTTTGTTAGTGTCCACTCTTACTATATATATATTTTCATTTAAAAGAAACCATATGATATTTAATGTTGTGTGTCTGAGTTACTTTACTTAGTATATACATTTTCCTAAAGCTGTTTCAAGTTTATCCTTTTATGACAGTGTAGTACTCCACTGTATATAAATATTACACTTTTTTATCACTACACTATATTGATGGACATTACACTACACTATATACTACACTACATTGATGGACATTACACTACACTATATACTACACTGTATTGATGGACATATAGGTTGTTTCCTAGATATTGTTATTATGAATTGTGCTGTATGAATGTGGGTATGCATACATCACTTTGGTATGTGTCTTTAACTCTTTCAGGAAGATACCTAGAAAAGAAGTAGCTGGGTCAAGTGAAATTTCTATTTTTAGTTTTTTTGGGAATCCTCATGCTGATTTCCACAGTGGTTGCACCAGTCTACACTCCCACCAAGAGTGGAGAAGGGCTCCTTTCTTCCCACAGCCCCGCCAGCATTTGTTATTGGTTGATTTTTTTTTTTAGGTAGTCATTCTTTCTGGGATGAGACAAAATCTCAGTGTTGTTTTAAATTGCATTTCTCAAAGGGCTGGTGATGCTAGACATTTTTTCATGTATCTATTGGCCATTTGTATTTGTTCACCTGAGAACTGTCTCTTCATTTTAATGGTGTAGGCCTATCACACGACGTGGCTTCTTATACAATCAATAAAAGTGAGATGCATTGAGTTTACTGTTGGTGTAACATGGTATACTGTTTGCAGAAGCTTCAATCCATAGTTGGCTGTCTCCAAGGCAGGTTGCCATGGCAGAGGAGAAATAGCAGATTGCAGGCAGGAAGCAGCAGCCATCAAGGGAGGAGAAGGGGTCTATGTATCTACCCTTCCAGGCCACAGCCACAGTGACCCACCTCTCCCCACAGGGCTTCACCTTCCAGCATCACATCCACCCGTAAACCCATCAGTGGATGAAAACAGCATCACAGACACATGATCCAGTCACCCCCCCATGGAAAGCCCCACCTATGAGCACATGAGGCTTTCGGGCACATCTAGATATAAGCCATTACAAATATTATATCTTTATCGCAAAGAAACTCTTATTGAGCCATGTTATAAAAGTACATGTTACTAACTATATCCTTCCTCAGAATACAAGAGAGAGAGCAAGAATAAGAGAGGGAGAGATAGACAGACAGCAGACAGACTGATTAGGTTTTACCCAATCATAAGCACAGGGGGGATATCTAAAGAAATGTCTTTTGAGAAAACTCATATAACTTCTTACCATCTCTGTATCTTCTACAATGGGGGATTGATCTCTAAGTCCTCCTACGTTTCCACAACTCTGCATAGCTCTTATTAGGCTTACAGTGGGGTAATGCTTCCTCCCACTTGCAAATGCGCAGAGATGCCCACCTCATACTGTAAGGGATATTTGTATAGTGAAGAGATCTCAGGAGGTGCTGAAGAGGTCCATTTAGAAGCAGCTTGCTGCCTGACCACAGAGACACATTGTGCCCAGTGGTGGCTAATGCTGCTCCTGGGGAAGGAGACTGCTTTATCAAGTATTTCACAGAAGTCTCATTAAAGAAAAGGTGATCTGTTTCAGGTTCCGTATTATAGACAAATGTGTGCTTAGAAATTAGAAACATTAATGGCAGTGAGGATTGCTGGGTACAGAAGGGAACTGGTTGATATTACCGATCCTGGGTGACATTTTTTGAAGATGATCTGGGTCTTGTTAGGGCTGCCTAGGGGCGTTTTCTCATTAGGAGAGCTGGATGTGAAGATATAGATGTTGATATCAGACTCACATTAGTATTTATTTACGTTGTGTACACATATACAAGCACAAATGTCAATAAGCATCTGTGTTTAAAATAACTAATTTACACAGGACTGTGGTGTGCATATCTAATGTGAGCTCAGTTTAGATGGTCTCACCTAGACACAAAATCAGGAGTTGGGTTCAAGGACATTACTATCCAGTGGGGTCCCACAATTTGAGTGGACCCAATCTTCTTTAGGGGAACTGTGCATGGGAAATGGGGCTTCAGACATCCCAGTAAGTATCTGGAATATGGTTTCAGATATTCCCCAAAACCTCATAAAGCAAGAGTTTTAGTGGGAGGCTAAAGTGAAATATACTCAGCAATGGAAAAAATGAGATTTCCACTGAAAAAAAGTACCATATAAGGTCAGTCACCAGTGATATTAAAGCTGTGATGATATGCAACATAACTTGAAAACCAAGTGCAGGGGCTAGGGATTTAGCTCAGCGGCACAGCACCTGTCTGTCAAGTGCAAAGTCGTGAGTTCAATCCCCAGTACTGGAAAAAAACAAAACAAACAAAAAAAAAGAAAATCAAGTGCAAAGAGGGTGGATATATTTCATGAATCACAGGTGGAAAATGAAAGTTTCTAACCGCTCTAGAGAGACTGCTTAGAGTGGATTCAAATCTTGAATTTACATTCTTACAGCAATTCTGACCCAAATGCGAGTCTTCAGAAAGGGTGACATCATTGCTGAACAATTTCCTACTAGTCTGAGCAATGGAATATGCTTGAGAATGTCTACATTTTTTCCCCTTTTATTCAAATTAGAACAGAATATTGTCACATCGTATTTCCGTTCTTCAGAAGTATACATGATTTTTATCCTAACGTACTTCAACCAGGAATGAATCCAAATTCTGCCTCCAGGAAATACTCACCATTGTCTGACTTGCTTTTGGCCCAGGAAACACGCCAGTCACAGGAGCCTTGTGAGATCACCACAGTTGTAGTTTCCAGGAAGTTCCAGTAGGTGTCTCCTAACAGCAGTTTGGGTAGGAGAAAGGGTGCCAATCATTTCTCTCTTTTAGTAATAGACATAGTGAGAAATTTGCCTACTGTATAGTGCAGACATCCAAAACTCATTTAATATTTTTAAAAATACCATTGATCATCTGATCTTTACACCCCATCTCTACAGGAAAAGAGTTTTAAAAAATGGTGGTTCTGCACATGTGTGGGGAAAAAAAAAAACAAACCAAAAATCAGAATATTAAATCCAACAATCAAGATGATTTCTTTCAAAGCCTACCAAAATTATGATTTAAAAAGTTTTAAAGTAGAAAAAAGTTGAGAATTCAGCTGTGAAAATAAACATTTTCTTCATAGGACTGGCAAACCTGAGAAATTTCCCAGAGATCCAATCTTGAGGTTTTATTATGCACAAGGTTAATGTTGAATGTCTGAAGTCTACCAACCTTTCTAACAGGAAAAAAAAAAAAAAACCCAAAATACAAATTACTTCTGCATGAAAGAAAGAAAGAGAGAGATTTCTTTTTGAGAAAATAAAATAGAACAATTGAGTGAAACATTATCTGTCAAGTGTCCATCTGTGTCTAGAATGTTTCAGGGGTGAGGCTTCACAGCTGTGGCCTTCCTGGGGCTGTCTTCTTATTCTGATATCCTTTTTAATGTGGCCACACTCAGGGACCACACTCAGGGAGCTGGGTGCACAATGCCTTCTGAATACCTTCTCTCTCCAAAGAGAGGCTATTATCTCCAAAGGAACATTGTATTTATGCACCCTTGTCTCTCACAGTGTCTGACTTGGAGCCTTAGCCTTAATTATCATTCACGGAATAGTTTTTTACTTTTTACAATAAATCAAGTTTTCTAGGGAAAAACACTAGCTTTTGACAGGTTTTTGCTGTATGTGTAGTCCATAATGAGTACAGTACCCTGCACAAGCAGGTATCATGTTTTTATTGAATCAATAAATGAAGCACAAGGCTGGTGGAAGAAGAAAAAAAACATATCCTAACTGGAGCAGGGTTGAGTTTAAAAGGAATATTTATTGGTTGTGTAGTACAAGCCAGACAGTGCACTGCACAATCTAGTTTACTTAAGAGTCAACTATAAATTCAGCTGACCATGACAGAGCCAGCCATGAAAGAGTTGGAGTTTAACTCAGAACTGTGCAGGTCTAATCCTCTCTAGGGAGGGACATTGAATAGGCTTCATGATCAACAAGCCACTGAGTAAAATATCTTGCAAGTCTATTTTAAAACATTTTAAATGCAAATATCACTAGCTATGTGTCCAAATTGTTCACCTACCCTGTCTTAGGTTAGAATTCACAGAGATGGGCCTTAAGATGCATATTTATTTGCAAGGATTTACTGTAGGCTTGGAGGGGAAAAATTACACTAAGTTGTAGTCTCAACCAAGACTTCAGCCAATCCCACAAAAAGGTCTAAAACTAGATGACCTTTTAGATTTATTACATTTTGAAGCAGGGATACTTGCCTTTGTACTCCCATATTAACCTGTAGTTGGATAGAGGCTGCTCTAGGTCGGGGCATGACCTTGAATGTAGTGGCTGTGGAGTACTGTTCAGGTTTTAGAAGGTGATTCTACTATGAAATAATCAGTATCCAATGTTTCTAAGAGAGCACAGCACTTCCTTGGTGTTAAAGGGAGTAAATGGAGTATTACACCAAAAAATAGGTTATATAGGTATATGATGTCCTTTTATTTTTTTCCCATCAAAGAAAATAAAGTCCTCAGCCTTGTCCATGGAGAAGTGAAGTAACACTTGACAGTCAGATTAGCTCTTCCACCAGGTGCTGAGAAGAAAGCTATTGCTAAACTTGAACGATTCCACTGCCACCTATGCTTGGGCTGCAGTGCCCTGGGATGATGGATGGAGGAAGGAAAGAAGACATGGGTTTTAATAGTTCAGGACTAGAACTAACAAATAATAGAATAGGCTATATTTGAAATCCAGAGTCCAAGAGGGCACAGAAATCCCAAATACCATTTGAAACTAATATGGCTCTGGAGAGGATGGGAATGGGGATGGGAATAAATGCAAGAGGAAGTCGTGTCTGCATAGGTTTCAAGTGATGACAGTATAGTAAGAAAGGTACAAGGAAATGTTAGGACTCTCGTATTTTCAACAAACTTGCAGTGACCATACTACTGGGAAGACAGGGATAATGTTTAGGCTTTGAGGTGAACTACTAAGAGTTAGGCAGACAGTTGGAGGTCCATTCATGAGTTTTAAGTAAGATGACTTAGTCTGCTTGAGCTGCTGTAACAAAATACTGGCAAAATATTGGTGACTTCATAGAAATGAGTTTTCTCATCTTGTAGAGACTGAAAGTTCAAGCTCAGTCAACTGGTCAACTCAGTTCCTATGAGGACTCTCTTTTTGGTTTATAGATGACCATCTTCTTGCTATGTCATCACATAAACTTTCTTCTGTTCACAGTGAAAGATAGAAGAAATTCTCTGGTTTTTTTTTATATAAGAAAATTAATCCTACTGGATTAGGACTTCATCTTTTTTTTTTTTTTTTTTTGTACTGGGAATCAAACTCATGACCTCAGGCCTTCCAGGCTAGCACTTATGCCACTGAGCTATATCCCTGGCCCTTAGGACTTCATCTTATGACTTCATTTATAGTTCTGTATATATAATTTTAAAGAAAAGATGGGATTATACCATATACACAAATTGAATATCCAAAGAATTTTTCTGTCTTAAAAATGTAGTACTATAGAGCCATATTAAAAGTTTGCACACTGTTGTTTTAAACAAACTTTCTATGATTTACTTAATCACTAAAATTATTTTTTGAATATTTAAATTACTTCAAATTGTGCATTGTTATAAAAAGTGCCATGGTGAGCATTCTTGGTGTATATCTTTATTTGAATCCTTGGTTATTTCTTTATGAAAAACTCACAGAAATAATGATTTCTAGGTCAAACAGGGTGCAAAAAATGTTTGTTAATTTCCCAGTATACTTGCAGAAAGGTTGTAACAGTGTACACTTCCAACAGTGAGATAGTGCTTTTGAGCCTGTTTTTTAATGCCACTATGACAGGTGGGAAATAGCATATCCCTATTTTAATAATCAATTTTTTGATTATTAATGAGGTATAACATTTTAAAATACATGTTTCCTGTCCACTTGTTATAATGGGATTGGAACGATTGAGTGCTTGTGTCAACTTGAGAAGTTCAGAGAAGCTTAACTAAATCGGTTCAGCAATTTCACACCCCAGGGTGTGGAGGACTCACCCTAGGGCAGCTCATCCCCTGGATGGTAGAAAGGGGGATATGAGGAAGGACGGATCTGTTTCTGTTTCTTCCAGGGAGCTCCAGTCTACACCTTCATCTTGGACATTATTGGGCTGCCGGGTAGACTCTTCAGCCTTCTGTAACAGGGCATCAGCCTCCTGATACCAACTTGCACAAGACACTGAAGTGAGCGCCAGACCTTGAACTGAATCCTTTGGTCTCCAGTGTGCAGACTCTGCATTTGGCATTCTTCCTCATCCTACTCTAGCTGACCATCATAAGCCAGTCTCATAGATGCTTATACATTTGTATATCTTGTGTCATATCTGTTTTTCTAGTAAAACACTGACTGATACAAGGATATTCTCATTTTCTTATGGATTTGTAAAAGCTTTGTATGTAATGCCTTTATTCTGTCACTTCTATTTTAAATATGGTTATTGGTTCCTTGCCTTCTGTTTTGTTCACATTTTGTTTTATGCTGGGGGATTTTGGATATATATATATATATATATATATATATATATATATAATTTTCTTAGGGATATATATTGCTGTTGATGCTATATGTAGGAGAATGCCCTTCAGTTCAAATTTCTGACATGGAATTTAAAAAGGAAGCAGATAACCTTCTATCACTGTGTCTCCGGGTTTCTCAGTGACAGTTTGTAAGGGGGTAGGCAAACATTTTCATAAAGGTGTTCAGGTGGCCAGCGTGACATGGATGTCAGTTCCAGGCTTAAGTGGAGCACTTCACACATTTGGATCATTCTCTTTTAAATTAGAAAAAAGTGTTGAGATATCTTCATACCGCCCTGCTCACAGGATTGTCTCTGAGGCCGTCTCCTGCTCACATCAATTTTTGTTGGCCTTTATTTCAGGAAGGAGCTGGACTTGATATGAGGGCAGAAGAGTGAGGCAGGTGGCAGCCAGATGGGTGTGCTGGATTTGGAGCCAGAGGAGAAAGGACAACTTTCAGCTCAAACAAACTCTGGTACTCTGCCTCTTTTATTCATTCTCCAAGGTCTAACTCAAGTTTCACAACCCAGTTTTTCTACCCCATGTTTACTACATGACCCTCTGAATAGCCAAGGATGATATTTTCATCAGTGTCTATTTAGTTCTTTTCACAGAGTAGCTAATATATAATCTTTATGATACTAGTTTTTATATTATCTAATGTAGAGCTTTAAAATATATTTTAACTTCCTTTACAAGATTTTAAATTTTCTGATATAATTTAGTTGTAGCTCAGAGGATGTTACTCAAGGCTCATCTTTAAGTGTAAATGTACAATAATGACTAATGGGTAATTGCTTGGTTTAAAAAATGCACACAAAATCTTTTAAGATTTTGTTTGGCTCATATAAATATACAAATCTTTTGTTAGAATATTGAAATGTGACAAGGCTCTGGGCTTTCATCAGAGGAACTGAGTTTGAATTTCAGCTCTGTTACTTACCAGCAGGGTATGAGCCCCCGTGTCTGCATTCAGGAAGTGGGGATAACATATTATCTCCCTCCTACATTTGAATGAATGTAAGATGCAGTTCAGTCCGAGTTTTCCCAAGGTACAGCAAAAGACAGTGACAATTCTTCACACAGAACTTTCAGGTTTAATTTAAATTGCTTTCCAACTCAACTCATAATTGTCAGGATGGTAGAAAACCCCAAACCAAATGATAACTCAATGACTAGAAACCCCTAATTCAGTTACTGCTAGAGCCATTTTGTTTTAGAAATTAGTTCACAATTGAGTTGCTGGTTTTTCTCCCAGCTCAATCTGCACACATTATTAAATCCGAAATGAGTGAGCTTGTGGCACATCTGGCAAGAGAAAAAAAGCCAAATTTCCATTCTTTATGCCTAACCTCCCCATGAAGTTTTCCTGTGGGTGCAGCAATGTTGTTTTTGACTCTTGGTATTGAGCTATATGTGCATGCTTGTGGGTAGCTGTTAAGCAGCTGTCATTGACAATACCCCAGGTGGGTAGAGACATACAGTTAGTGTATGCATTTGGGGCAAAATTCCATTTGTCTTGGCCTGATGGTCAATTTTGACTCCAATTTTCCATTCTCCTGACATGTGGGTAATCTCGTTGACATCTGGAGGCATTGTGTGGGAGAACAGGACACTAGTGATGAGATTCTCCATGTGGATCTGAAAGAAAGCTTTTCACCTGTAATTTGTGAGGGTTTTGTGAAGCTCTCTGGTACCCTTCTGGATAAAGAACTTTCTATAAACCTCACTTATTACAGTGATCACTGCTGGCAGAATCAAAGTTATGCATGTGTATTGGGAGCACATTATATCCTCTTTGTGCTCACATAAACTTCCATTTATCTGTACAAATATTTTTGAAAAGAGCAAAACTGAAATGTTTCCTCTCCAGCTGGGGTGCTGTTCTGTTGTGGCTGTGCAGAAAATTGGGTCACCGTCCAGTGTTGCATCCAGCACCCACTCGGCCACAGAATGGGGAAATGAGTGCTTATATAGTGACAGCGACAGTGTGGAGCAAAACCTGTGCCCAGAATGACTGTGGACAGCTAATAAGGAGTCCAGGAGCCGACTGTTCAGATTGCTGCCTTTGTTGCTGTTGTCTGGGAGGAAAGACATTGCTAAAAAGAAAATCATTCTTCTAACTCTTACTTTTGATCTCTTTTTGTATTCTCTGAGGACAGTGACTTTTAAAGGTTACATTTTACCAGTATGTGCCAATTTGGGGAAGAAAATATCTCTACTACCCAGGAATACTTGGAAGCATAGACTTTTCTGGAGACTGAATATGATGGTCTAAGATTGGTTAGAAAGGATTTGATAAATATAGTTGTGGGTATAACTGAATGACAGCTGGACATGGAGTCAGAGTTCAGATCTTAAATCCTTCACTGATTTGTGCTAAGCACCTGCCTCTGTTTCCTCCTATGTGCAAAAGAAAGTCTGTGTGAAGGTTGAATGAGCAGAGTGCCTAGCATGTAAAGGGTAGTCACTCATTATTTGTTAAATCCAGAAATAACTTTGTGAGGGAGGGCTATGCATCCATCAGTGTAGGTGAGATTTCTCTGTAGTAACATACAGGCCCTAAGTGGATTAAACAGCCCACGCTTATTTCTCTGTTGAACTTCATGTTCATTGAGGTCAGCTGTCATGTCCTACAGTCATATTCCATATGGCTCTTAGTCTGGGGTCCAGGTCCACTGGGTAATCACCATCTGGAAATTGTGGCAGCAGAAAAGAATTCTGGAGGGATTTGTAGCTGTAATTAAATGATCTGTTTGGAAATTATACACATCCTTTCTGCTTAGAGTTTATTGGCCATAATTAGTTGTGTGGCTCCTCCTAGTCACTAATGAGCATAAATCCTACTTGAGCCTCAAAGACAGGAACCCAAAATATATGGCCAATAGCACTCATGACTTCTGCAGTGTTTATTAAGCAGGTTTTGTTGACTTATGTCTATCATACAAATCAAAATGTTACCATACATTTCTTACCTCTTCATTATAACACATAATCATGTTTTCCTTTTGTTAAATATTTCATATATGCTATTTACTTCATTCTTAGTTTTTCAAACAGAACACAAGAAGAAAAACTTTTATTTTCATAGAATATAACAGAAGGGGTTTATTTTCATTTACTTTGGGCAATAAGGAAGGTAATGATGGCTTTCACCTTTTTTCTTGTCCTGGGAAGTGGTAGAGAAGAATAGAGCACAAGAAGGTAGGAAGGAGACCAACCATCTGAAATTTTCATGGAGGGACATTCATTTTGTCTGGCAAGATGAGACCCAGTCAGTTTTGTTATAAAGCGTGCTAAGAGAGGAGAGAACTGGCTTTAACATATCTGTTATATACTTGAGAAAGTCTACTCAGGAGATACCAGAAAGTTAATTGATTTTTTGTATTTGATATATTTTTCCTTTTGGAGAATCTTTATTTCTTTTGGCTTTTGATCATACACTCGCATATGTATGCCTTCAAGAATTTGAACAAAGCCGAGTGTGGTGGCACACGCTTGTAATCCCAACACTCAGGAGGCTGAGGCAGGAGGATTGTTGCAAGTTCAAGGCCAGCCTGGGCTACAAAATGAGCTCAAGTTCAGCCTGAACTAGATAGCGAGAGCCTGTCTCAAAAAGACCAAAAATAAACAAACAAACAAACAAAGAACTTGAACAAGGAACTAAAGGAAGTCTAGTCTTTGCTGATGTAGCAGAGACTGTTAATTATCTCTTTTTTATTATTTTTATTTTTATTTTTTGGTTTTTCTCCGGAACCGGGAACCGAACTCACGACCTTGTGCTTGCCAGGCAGGCGCTTTTTGCCGCTGAGCTAAATCCCCAGCCCCAATATCTCTTAATATTCATTTTGCTTCTAACATTAAAGTTAGAACTTCCAGTACATTATCCTGACTTAGAGACCAAAACTGTGCCTGCACTGACAGATGCACATCCTCCCTCACAAAGTATTTTTTGGATATAATTAATATTTAATGATCTCCAATTAGTGCCAGTTGCTTGCAGCCACATATGATTTGATCTCTGATGTGAAGTCAGTGGAAGTCTTGAGCACAACTTCTAGGTCATGTTGTTAATGAGAAAGCTATTTTCCATCTGTTTCCTTTTCTATCTTGTTGGCTTTGAAAGGTCACAACCTTCTGAAACAGTCACTTTGTTCCCCCGCACAGAAGCCACAAATTGAGGGTGACTCCTTGTCCTAGACTGGCTGCCTATCACCAAACTGCTACCTTGAGAAAGAAGTAAGCTTATTACATTGATTAAGCCATTGTAATTTTAGGTCTCCTTATTATAGCAATTTAGCCTGTACCATATTGTCTTAGTTTGTATACTGCTGCTATGACAAAATATATGGGTGATATATGAAGAAAAAAGGTTCACTTAGCTCACAGTTATGGTGATCCAAAAGCATGGCTCCGGCATCTTCTTGGCACTGGTGAGGGCCTTTTGCTTATCTCATAGCATCACATCACATCATTGTGAGGGCACACAAGAAAGGAAGAGACCATATGATGAGACAGGAAGCCAGAGAGAGCAGGCTGGGACAGTTGAACTCACTTTATAAAAACTCAAGTTTGTTCCAACCTAGCACCATGAGAGCTAGAACTCTATCAAGAGGGCATTAATCCATTCATGAGGGTGGTGCTAGGCTCCACCTCTTATAGATTCCATCATCTCCCCAGCACATAACATTTGGGGGTAACACTCACACCATATCCAAATCAACTAGAGACAGAGAAGATCCACCACTGCTGACTAGAGGCAGAAGTGCTCAAAGCAGATTCACCAGGAAACACAAGTACTCACAAATGGAGAAAGCAAATAGCCAGATATGGAGAAGCAATCCAAAGGAGAAATCCACTAGGATGAATCCAACACTGGGGGGATTAGAAAGGGAAATGGGGCTACCTCTGGACCCTGGCAGATAAATTCCTACCCTACTCTTATTTTCCACTGGGAGAGGAAACCCAACAAGGGAGATATTCACCGATTTTGGGGCCAGAGAATCACTCACAGGACAGAAACTAAATGGACATCAATGGGCCTAGGGAAGTATAGAGCAAGGGGATGATGTTGGCTGGGGACTCAGACTGGCAGCTGGGAGAACTGTGCCTCAGGGAGCTGTGGACTGTAACAGGTGAGACATGAGGAGAAAGGAAGTTCTACCACAACCAGAGCAGCCAATTCCCCAGCACTCTCCTAAACACTGGGAGCTCAGTGTCCATGTGCTATCTGCCTACTACCTACCATTCATTGCTGGGAACCAAATGCACATCCCCAGTTGAGAGTTGCTGAGTGCCATGAGCCAAGCTCCAGGCTCCACAGAATTGGCCTGGCCGTAAGAAAGTGTCAGCTTTCTGGAGGGTGGAGAAGACTTGCCTAAACAGACAGGGCTTGGCCAGAGGACAGGATACAACACACTCAGCTGGGACTATACACTGTATGTTGGAAATGTCTGTGTATGTAAAAGGGAGAATAAGACTTAATTTGTGTTTTAATCTAAACAGTGCCTTTCATAGGCAAGTTAGGAGAGCTAACTTGCTAAAACTGTGAAATAGATTCACACAGAAGCTCACAATCAGCATATTATGTAATGGGTTCCAACCTGCACACAGCTTTCCTTAATCTCTAATTGAACATTCCTCCTACTTTCCTTCTCCCAGTCCCAAAAATGTTCTTACAAAACTGTTTTCTACCAAACTTCCATTATATTTAAAAGAATAATAGCAGCAAAATTTAATCTCATCCTTTATTTTTTCATTTGTTATCTTTTTTTTCTCCTTTCCTCTGACCTACTCCCTTCCTTTCTCTCTGCATTTTCATTCCACCCACCACCACATTCAAGCCAACCTGTCAGTAGTAGTATGTCATAGTCTTTATGGGACATTGAAGAAAGGTTGAAATTGTTAAAATAAGTTTTAAAGTACATGATTTATATATGGTTGGAACTGTTGATATTATAACCATTAGGGATTCTCACCTTATAACATAGTAACCATATCTGATCCTATTAAACTAAGTATTTTGCAGAGATATATAAGCACCAAAACATAACTAAAGCCAAGATCACACCACTGGGAAGCAGACATTCACTAAAGAGATCTCCATACTAGCAACAGATTCTTTTTACTGTAATTGGTCCTCAACCCTCAGCACAAGAAAGAAAAAAAACTATGAGAAAATGGGGAAAGAAAATGCCTCCAGCTGAACGCTCCCAAAGCTGATCCAAAGGGCTTTGATGGGGAGGAAGTAAAAACTAAACTGCTGAAATGTGTGAAGGATAAAAGAAGAAACAAACAACAATAACCACAAAAACAGATCAATAAGATGCTCAGCAAGCTCAGATCTATAAGATGTTAAGCTTATGATTTAACTAAACACATAATAGACAACTGATAAAATGAGCAGAAAATTTAAAGAAGACACAAATAAAAGGGTGGTAAACTAATAAAAACAACACAAGTTATGAACAACCAGTTCATTAAAGAATTAGAGTGCAGACCATATACTCAAGAGATATCTCAAGAGAAACAAGAGGTCGTGGAAATTGGATTCAAGAATTGCTAGATGACTCACAGTGAACTAACCTAAGAATCATAGAAGTTAAAGAAAAATTAGAAGACAAAACAGAAAATATTTTTAAAAATCTACTTACAGAAATCATAGCAGAAAAATTCCAAGTAAGGAAATGAATTCAGGTAAAGAAGGACTTATACAACCTCAAATAGCCATGATTAAGAAAAAAACTCTCCATGACACCTTATAGTTAAAATCTCAGAAGTTCAACTCAAAGACATTTTAAAAGCTGTTAGACAAAATCGACAAGAAACACATAAAGGCAAACCTATTAGAATTACAGAGGATGTGTGAACACAAACCTTCAAGTCAGGAGAGCTCAGACTGAAGTATTCCATGGCACCAAGAAAACAACCTTTGACCCAAATTAATAGATGGAGAAATAAGGACTTTCCAAGGTGGAGAGCCCCTTAAGAAATTCATGACCACCAAACCAGCACTACAAAAAGTACTCAAGGATATCTGAGGGAGAGAAAATGAGGCCAGCAACACCAAACAGACTAAATTTGAATGCATCATGTAAGGTGAGCAATTAAGCAAAGGTGAAAAATAAAGTAACTTACAACAGAAAATAATGCATTAACTGACAGGAATCAGTCAATACCTTTCAGTAATAACTTTCCACATAAATAGTCTCAGCTACCCAATCACAAAACACATATTGGCAGTCTAGATCAAAAACAAAACCCAACTGTATATTGTATGTAAGAGAAACATAATTCATTAAACATCTCATAGGCTAAATGAAAGGATGGAAAATGATATTTTATGCAACAAGAGCACAAAAGCAAGCAGGAAGAGCTATCTTATTTTCAGGCAAAGTGGACTTCAAGCCTACAGCTAATCAAAAGAGACAAAGAAGATTACTACATGGTAAAGGAAGCAATTCAATGATAACGGATAATAATTTCAAATATATATGCACCAAATACTGTTACAACCAATTTTATAAAATAAATACTACTGGACATGAAAGATCAGATAAATATCAACATAACTGTAGTAGGGGACTTTAATACTCCATTATCACAACTAGAAAGATCTAGACAAAAATCAACAAAGAAATGTCAGAACTGAACTGTACCTTTCAACAGATTGTCTTAATAAATATTAACAATAAATATTAAATTCTCACTAGCACATGGAACTTTCTCCAAAGTAAACTATATACTCTTCCCCTAAAGTATGTCTGCATAAATGTAAAAGAGTTAAAATAATCTCAGACATATTATCTGACCATAATGCAATCAAGGTAAAAATCAATAGCAAAGAATACCCTGAAAATTATACAATCATGTGGACATTAAATAATACTCTTGAATAATCAAGGGGCCACAGATAAAATCAAGGAAATATTAAAATATTCCTACAGTCAAACAATAATTGTTGTAAACATATCAGAACCTATGAAACACAATTAAAGCAGTGCTAAAAGGGAAGTTCATAGCTGTGAATCCCCACATTAGAGAAACAGAGTGATCTCAAATACATAAATTAATTATGCACTTCAAGATCCTAAAAAGAACAAAAAAATGCAAATACAACATGTTAGGAAGAAGGAAATTGTACAAACCAGAGCTAAAATTAATGAAATTGACACTAAAAAAGCCCCCCAAAACAAAGACTTAATTAATCAAAGAATTGGTTTTTTGAAAGGCTAAACAAATTAGACAAACTCTTAGACAAACTCAACAAAAGAAGAAAAGACCCCTAGCAGCGCAATTAGAAATGAAAAAGGTTATGTCACAACAAATACTGCCAAAGTCTAAAATATTATACATAACCACTAGGACAATGTATTCCAATTACTTGGAGAATCAAGAAGAAATAGATAGGTACTTAGATACATGTGAATTACTAAAGCTAAACCAAAATGGTATAAAATCCCTGAACAGTCCATAACACCCAAGTGACTTGAGGATATGAACTAAGATAAACCTAGGACCTGATAGATTCATAGGTGAATTGTACAAGCCATTCAGGAAAGAACTAATGTGAATATTTCCTTTTCATAAATTGACTGTGAAAAAACACTATCCAATTCATTCCTTGAAGCTAACATTACTACAATACCAAAACAAGACAAGATCTTAACCAAAAAGAAAAACTACAGCCTTATTTCCTTAATAAACACATATGCAAAAATCTTCAAGAAGATACTGGAAAACAAAATACAAAAAAATCATTGAAAAATCATACATTATGATCAAATTGATTTCATCCTAGGGATATATGGATGGTGCAACATATTTAAATTAATAAATGTGATATGTTACATAAAACCAGAGTAAGTATAAATGATGATCATCTCAATACATGCAGAAAAAGCCTTTGTCAAATCTCACAGGCATTTGTGACAAAAGTTAGTATAGAAGGACCTTCCTTTAGAATGATAAAAGCCATTCATGACAGACCCACTGCTAGTGTCATACTAAATAAGGAAAAACTGAAAACAAGCCCATTAAAATTAGGAACAAGACAAAGTTGTCCACTCTCATCACTCCTATTCAATATAGCACTTGAAATTTTAGGCATAGCAGTTAGGAAAGAGAAGTAAAGAAATGGGATTTGAATAGGAAAAGAGGAAGTATCTTTATTTGCAGATGACATGGTCTTTTACATAAATGATTGAAAAAAAATTCACCAAAAGTCTCTTAGAACTAGAACAAGTTCAGCAAAGTGGCAGGTTACCAAATAAACACACAGAAATAGTGCTAATAGAATCAGCCCACAGAGAAAGAATCAGGAAAAAAGTCCCATTCACAGTAACCTCAAAAATTAAATACCTTGGAATTAACCTAACCAAGGGAGTAAACAAAATTTTTCAACAAAAAATATATTGCT